ACACACACACACACACACACACACACACACACACACACACACACACACCTGTAGCCATAGTTGCCCTGGATAGAGACTAGACAGTCCTTGAGGGAGGTGACCAGGGCTTGGCAGCGTTCATCCCCGAACACTCTGGACTGCTTAATGATGGCGATGGCCGTTAATAGAGTCTCCATGGCAACCCGCAAGTCTCCTGAATGAGCAATTGGAGAAGTGAGATATTAGAGACAGTAAAGTAGTGAAGCACTTCAACACTCTTTGGGTTAGGGTTACTAAAATAACTTTTAAAATAGACGACATTTACCCTCCACATAACTCCATGCTACAGGAAGACTGGAAACCCATTTCGGTTGATGTTGGTTTTAATATTTTGTTACACTGATGCTTCTCTGTGACAGGAATTGGAAAATAGGATTGAAGAACAAATAGAGAGAGCTTGGCCTTGAGCCCCACTGAATATCAACATGTACAATAAGAAAACTCAAAGATGTTCCAGTCTGAATGATCTAGAGAGCAACTGCAGGGAGGAAGTGGAATAAATGTCGAAAACTGAAAAACTACTTTTTTTTTTTTAAGTCAGCTTTTTATTCTGAGTGATGGAGTCGTACATTTTCCCCTCTCTCTTCTCATTTGTTTGAAGTGGGCAGGGTTTTTGTTGGAAAACAGTGATGTCATGTATTTACATGTGGTTTGTTTGTGTTGCCAGGCCGCTGTCAATCACATCTGATCAAACCACAACCGCACACAGTACTGATGAAGTGGATTAGCTGAGTTTAAGAGTCTTAAACTCTTATGAATAACAAAGGTTAACTATTTCCTTTTTAAAGTTTTGATTGTTGCTTATTTAGTCATGAATATGGCATGTTGTAGAAAAATGTTTAGAGACTTAAATTAACTGACAGAGAACGGCACTAACTTTGATTAAAGGGTCCGAGTACTGTTTTATCATTATAAACTATATTGTAAGAGGGTTTCCATATGTTCATCAGTAATTGGTAGGGACCAGTCATTTTTCCACACAGCCAAATAAGTTCTGATGTTTCTTCTACTCCACAGAATGTGATGAGCTGTACTTACCAGCTGTTGCTCCAGACACAGCCTTGCTGATGGCGCTGCTTGCGACAGCTTTATTTCTGTTCATCAGCTCTTCAAAATCTCTATCTGTATTTCGAGGTGTTTGTCTGAAAGAAAAGCACAGATTGTTGTTACTAAAAAAAAATAACTTTTGCCATAAAAAGATATTTTCATAATCGCTATGACAAAAGATGCTGAATCTCAATGTGTTGTATTATCCTGAATATGTTCCATATGCTTTATCATGCTGGTCTTTGTGCTACGTAAAGATTCACTTTCCACAGCAACATCATCATCTTATCTAATTGTGAAACCAAACATATCACGGTTCATGGTTTGCAATAGCTTTAAATATAAAAACAGTGTATGCTCTCACTTTTGTTGGCTGTAAGCTTGGCTGCTGTGCCCGTCTTGTGCCGGGGGGAAGAATGCCGGATTTACATGCAGACTGGGAGCTGGTTGGCTGGGAACATGGATTGGATGAGGAGGGAACAAAGGCGGTGGCATGGGTGGAGGGATGTTTGGCGGCATGTGTGGGAAAGGAGGAGGTGGATGACTATGGTAAGCGTTGGGTAATGGGGGAAACCTGTTTATAAGTGGATGTGATGGAAAAAGTGGAGGTAAAGGGGGGTGACTGGGCTCCTGTGATAATAAAGAGGGAATCCTATCCGAAAAATCGGACTCCTTAGGATCTCTGGAATTAATACGCAGGGGTATACCTACAGAGAACACAGTGTTTTTGTGAGAAATGACAGTAATACTGACATGTTGCAATATAATGTAAACTCAATAGTGTTTTCAAGATTTGTGGTGATCTTACGTTTATTTGCTATGTCCTCAAACACACCGAGGTTCTGGCGAGTTGCAAAGCGACAGTCTACCTTATCCCCATTGAGCTCACATTGGGGTATTTTTTCCAACAATATTTTCAATGACTCTTCTGAGGTTACCACCACTTCAGCAAAGCTGTGAAACACAGAAGACGAAACAACACATGTATGGCTACCAACACCAAGTCAAAAATATTCACAGGAAATCCTTTGATTTTGTTTTTATAAACATTAAATCTGCAACCACTCACCCTCTTGACTGGCCATTAATTTTGTTCTCAGCAAATTTAATCTCTTTGATGTCCTTCACACCCAATGTTTGAGCCATGCACGTGATGTCCTTATCAGATGTCCACTGGAGATAGTCACAGGTTTGGGAAATTGAGGGTGAGAAAATGACAGGAGGATAGGTAGTTACTTGTGCTCTTGATTGTGATAGGGGAACTTATTTCTCCGTTCTGTTTCATGTATTCTTTGCTCCGCAAACCCATGTGGAAAAATCAACAGAAATGGTATTGGACAATACAATAAAAGGGTAATTAATATTAACACAGAGAGGGTGCTACTCACCCAGGGGAAATTTCCAATATATAAAGACAGTCTCCTCAGAGAGTGTCTTCCTTGTTGGATTTTCACTGTTGTTGATTTAGCCTCCTCTTTAGGTGGCGTCTTGTTAGCCACATTTGTAGTGACTTTCTTGTCCTGATCGACTGAGCCAGTTAGGACAGCATCATAAAGTTCATTTGCTTCAGCAATTCTGTCCAAATCCTGTGTGTGATAGAAAAAAAGCAACAATATCATATTATGTTTTATTCTGTGAACCTCGATCCTCAATGTAAAGAGCATAAATTAACTATACACTGCCCGAGGAAATACGAATCCCCAGGCTCTCCAGCAGCTGCAAGAAATGTGGAGTAACATGGGATTGTTTCTGTATTTTCTCGAATTGCCTAAACTACAAGGATCTGTGCACAACATAAAGGCTACGAGAATGGTACTTGATTCAGTGCATTTTCTACTCTGGTGAATAAAACACACAATACAGCATCACAAGAAGATGGGCTTGATTCTGATAGCTGAGGCGATGGACGCCTGAATAATAAAAACAAAATGAAATGTAGTTTTATTTTTGACTGCAAATACGCGCGTGCATCCAACTATAGTCCTCCCACACAAAAAGAGGGTTAAAGTCTGACGTTGAACATGCGTGATCAGTTAACACGGATTTAAAATGCAAAAAATATATATTTTAACTCCACTAAAGCAAGGTGCTGACAACTATCTAATCTAATCTAATGTTGCACTCATATGCTGCTCTCGCTGATGCATTTGCTTCTACAAAAAAAGATCAGACTCACATCTTCGTTTTGATTCAGGTCACTGTAAAGATCAATGAAGTCCGTTTTGGAGGTACTTGGTCCGGCTGCAGGTCTAGCAGCCATCCCGTGGGCCTAGGATGGTCCAATTGATGAAACTGCAGCTCGTTAGGTATGTTTTGTTTTTGGTGTAGTTCGCACATGCACACGTAGCAAATGATCAGTGCATGCTAACAACAGGTGCACTTTCAATATACGGGGATTTGTTGTTAGCGTTGCGCCTTGTTGCTAACGTTAACCAGCTCGAGTCCGCACAAAAATGATAAACTTACGTTAACGTTAGCTGAGACAAAATGTGATAATAAACCGAGAATACGACATGCGAACATTAGTCGATAAATGATATTTCAATGAGCACTTTCAAAATACATGCAGGGTCTTTAATGTATGAGCTTAAATACAAATAGTTTCAGCCTACTGGAGGCTCGCTCTCTTATCAGCTAATGCTAATGATGCTAGTGCTAGTGTGCTAACGCTAATCTTTCAGTACCAGAAGTGCGTCAGGAATATTTCCCCGGTTACCAACAGAAAACAACATTTGGTTCCTGCTGCACGTCTCTTTAAATTATCATTACATTGATTATCAAAGAAAAATAAATACTGAATATACACAAACTAGGTTTCAAACCTTAAATTTACCACGCTGGGGGCAATTATGTTTTCAAATGGCCAACCATGATGGTTACCTTAGCACTACGGCGTCATGTGTGAGACGTATCCGGTCCCCCCTCGATAGTTGTCCGTGTGCTGCTGTAACGTGAAACCTGCTTGTGTAATTGTACTGTTTGGTGTCTGACATTCAGATGTCTGCAGCGTTTTGACGGCGGAGAAGCAGTTCACCAAGAAGTCTCTCAACGTTACAAGAACGACGGTTAAAATGCTCTCTTCTGTTGTTGCGAAAAGGGTGAGTTATCTAATAAACGTTACACTTATTTGTAGATGTGTTGCTAATTCACTCGAGGACATTTGAAAGATCTAACGCTAATTAAAAATATGAAAACAATATTAAGCGAAATGTAATAACCAGCTTAGATTGTTGATATTGTAGTATTAATGTTAACTGTGTCCTGCTGGAGGACAGTGGTACAATCCCGGGGTAAACAGTTGTACAACAGGGTAGCGTGGGACATTACGTAATTCACCTCTGCTTCGGTGTGACGTTATTGATTTTAAATTTAGGCTAACTACACTTCAGGTTCTTAATCTACTAGAAGGCATGTAAAAGGTTTATTTTGTTAGCCTACTCGTGTGTGTTACATTGATACCATTGTAAATGTATCATTACCGGAAGCTCCTTTTCTTGATATTTCTTTATTGCGCTGTCTTTGCACAATAAAAGCCCCAAACAAAAAAACACGTTCTTCTACACAGCAAAAAGAAAATGCAAAGTATTAAGAGTTTGATGGCAGAGAGAAGTAAGAACAAGAACACCACACAAGAGAGGTAAATGGGGCAATTATACCAACATATCTAAGGAAAATTGCTGGATAAATACATATATAGATACTTCATACAGAAATACAAAAACAACCCTACATAAAATCATTTGGTCTCAGTGCGACTCACACTTTCCTCCCATGTAATCGACATAAAGCCCCATTGAGACATGCACCTCGTTACATAAATATGAGAGCAAGGACAAAGATTACAACATCACCGCCTTCTTCAAAAGATGTTGAACTGATTACACAGTGAATTAATTGACCCATCACATGAATGTGATGAAACCATACAATACAATGTGCTAGTATTTGTCTCAAACCTGTGTGTTTTGTTGTCTGTCAGCTGGTGACAGGTTTGTGCCAGGCAGCATGGAGACCGGCAGTCACAGGGCTGGTACCGCCTCGTGGTTATCGTGGAGATTCGCCAGATGACACCAGGGGAGACCTGATTGAGATCCCCTTGCCCCCTTGGGATGAGAGGCCCGGCGAGTCCACTGACATCAAGAAGCGACGCCTGCTGTACGAGAGTCGCAAGAGGGGCATGTTGGAGAACTGCATTCTGCTCAGGTTGGTCTGTTTTTCACTTATCTGTCTGTCATCCAGCCATACTAGTGACACACTTTAGAGCACTGGTATAGTGCAGGTGGGTTTCAAGTGTCAGTTGTACCTTTTTAATATATTTTACATTTTGCCCACTTTGTCATTTAAGTTCACAGTGTAGAATAGGGTGAGGGTGGTGAGAAGTAGGGGTGAACAATTTGAAAAGAGCAGGGTAACAAGGGCAACAATAAGCATGATGATAATCATTCATAGTGATCATAAAAGCACACTTTTCCTCATAGAAAAACATCCCACTGGTCATTGTGAGCAGTGTCCGGAGGCAGGGATAGGAAAACACGTATTCATATCTTGTAGGAACTCCACAGTAGACAGACGGTACAGAGATTAGGGTTATTAGTGGGGAGAGCAGAAGATGACTGATGACTGACATTGACGAGGATCAAACCAGAACGCGGCAGTAATGCAACGATAAGGAACACAAAAAGAAGTTCCCAGTGAGCAGTCCATTCACCAGCCGCTCAGATAATTACCAGCAACAATGACTTTCCATTTTTCAGGAAAGACTCAAATGAATTCTTCTCTTCCAGCCTTTTTGCAAAGCGTTACCTGAACACAATGAATGAGAAGCAGCTCTATCAGTATGACAGACTGATTAATGAACCAAGCAATGACTGGGACATCTACTACTGGGCAACAGGTGAGAGAATACCTTTATAGGGATACCTAATAGTTTCTTCTCACAGGTTTGACGTTGCCTCTCATTCAGTACAGTAGAGCTGATGCATAAGAATCATTCGATAGAGAGCTGGAAACAGATTTCAGACACTGAATGGAACTTGGATATACTTTAGATTATCAGCACAAAACACGTTAATATTTAATGACAAAACATTTCGCCTTTGCAATATTAATGTTTACACAAATTGCAATAACAACTAGAGACCGATGGGAGCGATGGAATAAAATCTGGCCCGGGGCGTAAAGGGGGGGCAATGGCCGCTTTCTACCGCCCTACTTCTGGCACCCTTGTTTGGATTACACCCGTCTTCGAAGTCAACCTTCATTTTGATTTTGATTATTGCTGTGACTGCATTTTGCACGGTTGTGACGTTGCAGTGGACACATTCTGTCCACAGACAGACAGAAATATAAACATCTGGCAAAGTGTTTAAAACCATGTCTGTATTAGTTTCCTGTCTCCAGGATCACCATGATGACACACAGATGCAGACTCACGAGGTGAAAACTATTTCCAGTGTAAATATTTGCTGTTGTCACTTAAGGGTTTTGTGTTAACAGCGACAAAGAAATCAGACTTGCTCCTTTTAAATTCAGTCTGCAACACAACAAAGTGTCGAAGACTCCAGTGGGTATAATAGTGATAAAATGCCTTTTTTTTTTTTTCTTCTTTTTTTTTTAAACTGGTAATCATTCATGGCTGATGATGCCGAAATAATGAAATCACTGCTCTGCTTACAAACAAACATCGATTCTGTTGCTGTTTTTTCACCGCTCCTTTTGGCTCGGACTTCATCCTGGGAGCTCATTCACTGTCCCAGTATAACTAACCACTTTATTCATGAGATTGTCTCTAATTTGAGTCAATTATGTGTCTGTTTTGTTGTGCAGAACAGCCAAACAACAGAATCAGTGTGAGAATATAGTCAACACGTCCAATTGGCAACGCCGCTCTCGAAAAACCAAACAAAAAATGTCGCAGGCGGGCTGACTTCTCTGAAACCAATTCTGCATGAATCATTTTATACTCTTAAATTATTCGCTGAAATACTTTCCATCTTGAATTAATAAACAGAAGATTTTTGACCACTGAGAAACTGGGAATGAGCCCCGTACGAGGCATTCAAATGACCAGATGAGACCTTGGAATCAAGAATCATAATTCTGCTTTCTTATTACTACAATATGAAACAAACACAAATGTTCAGGAGGAGTTTTTTTCTTATCATCATCCGGAGTAAAGGATCATGTTGAATCAGCCTTTCAGTTTTATGTTCTCAGCTGGTCCTAAAATAGATTACGGTGATGTCAGAAGGGCTCCCCTCTGTGTGCTCTTGTTCCTCAGCCATATGTCATAGTTAAACCTGTTCTCTCTGTGCTTACAGAAGCCCAGCCCACCCCTGACGTTTACCAAGGAGAGATCATGGATATGCTGAAGGAGTTCACAAAGAACCGCAACCAAGAACAGAGGTTAGATGCACCCAGCTTGGAGTACCTGGAAAAGGAAGGCCAGTGAGGTCCATGGCCCTTTGGACCTTCTCATAGACTCATTTTGGGTGGGGGCACAAGGTGAAATATCAGTGTCATAACCCACCAGAAAAAAATCTCCAGAGCCAGCTGTGTTTTTTTTCAGTGATTCTCAGCAGAATGAACAAAATATTGTGGCCTGGAAAAATATCTCGAAGACTTTACTCTCCAGTACTATACACCTCTCCGTGAAATATTCTCGTCACGGAAGCCTCCATCCTCTATATTTCCTCTTCCAACTCCAGTCAGTCATTAAAGGGGGAAGAACATTCGTGGAAGCAGAGGGAAGTTGGATCGATCGCAAGTTGATGCAACACAATATTAGCAAGGTGCTCTGAATATATTAACATTAAGTGAATTGTAAATGTTTGATTCAAGACTGTACATTAAAACTGATGAATGTGTGAGATGCGTACTGAGTGAGTCAGCTTTGAAAGATGGAGACAAGTTGACAATCTGTTTGTATACGAGATAGTTAAACACACAGACTCACACATGAGTGTAGCTTGTTGAATTGTCATGGTTGTGTTCAATGATTTGACTGTACCTATCACAGACATTATGGGTTATTTAATAAATGGTGATGACTGTCTTCTTCTTCTATTACTATTTTCACATACCAGAGGGTTAAATATCATACTGATGGTTGGTATTTGTTGCATAATGAAGGTTGCCTGCAGTATCGGTACATGAACACATGGTGGAAGCATATCACCTTGCTTTCAGTGACGGTCAAACTGAAACACCTGCTGATCTTGGTATCTTTGTGGCAAATGGGTCACCTGCAAAACACACATGTCTCACATTCCTTATCATTCATGCAGGATAAAATGTGAAAACATCAGTCCATCGTTGCCATATTTGTAGGAATCCTTTCAGCCTTTATGCAGAGAGTAAAAAAACATCAACAAAAAATAACCCGACTGTAACTACGCTACTGCATTTAGGGATGAAAAGGATGTTAGCTGTGGAATATACAGTGGGTTTTTATTACAGCTTTTATGAAGCAAAGCACCGCTGACATTTTCTGTTAAGGTGATTTTTTTAAATTAAAGCACATATATTTTTTTCTAAAAGCCGTGTAAACAAGGTTATAATTCTCTCCTCCACCACTGGATCACTGTGTGCTGGCTGTGGGGGAAGTTTCTTGCCCGGCTGTGTGTCATGTTGGTTCAGTGGAACCTTGTACTGAGAGCAGAAGGGAAATGCCCTCTGGCCAGGAGATGTGCACAGAATCTCAAAACTGATGACAAGCCTGCTCGTGCACGCCCAGAGAATCATAATGTGCACATGATCCACTGCCTAGGTGTTGCACAAACAAGGCAACCGTACAGCTATGAGACAAACGTTGATGTGCATTTTCTTTCTCGTCACTTTTAAAGGAAACATATGTTGAGTAAGTGTCACAACCTTCAATGTTTATGTTCTTAGCTTGTCCTAAAATAGACTACGGTGATGTCAGAGGGGTTCCCCCCTGTGTGCTCTTTGCTCCTGTGCCATCTGTCTCTCCATATATCTTAATAAGCGGTGGAGAGTACATTTACTCAAGTGCATTTTTCTGTTACTGTATTTCCATTTCGGTGACTTTCTACCTGTACTTCTCTACATTTCAGAGGGTAATATTGTACTTTTTAGTCTACATATGTTTTACACTACATATTTTGACAACTGTAGTTACAAGCCTCTTTTTAGTTTAAGATTTGTCATTAAAAGTATATGACACAATGATAAAATACAATGCAAGATTGAACCACATCCTTCTCAAAGAGGTAAAAGTATCCAATATTTCACAAAAAAAGAGCAAATATTAGGGGAAAAGTCAAAAAGGTGAATACAAACTTGTAACCTATCTTTTATTCTACTATTATTCATCTCACGACCCCTTAGATTGGTCTTGAGACCCTTTGGAAGAGGCCTCCCCCCTAGGTTTAGAACCACTACCTTATTGTATATGAAGTAAAACCTGCTCCACCTCAACCAGCCACAACCATTTTGTATATTATGTATACAATATGTAATGTATAATAAGCCTTTTTTCAAAATGGATACTTTCATATGTGATCATTTAAGTACACTTAGCTGCTAATACTTATGTACTTTTATTTAAGTAGGCATTTGAATGCAGGACTTTTACTTGTAATGTAGTCATTTCAATTATTGTATTGGTACTTTTACTTATATGTAAATGATGTGGATACTTCTTCCACCACTAATCTCAATGCATAAAATAAATCACTTTAAATCTAAGCCGTCACTGTGGCTGTGGGAATGTCCTGCACTAAACACTATTCATTTTCCAATAGATAAATCTGAAGTTTATCTGGTGTCACAAATCCCTGCTCTCAAGAAAAAAGGATGCCACCTGTGGATCCCACATGCAGGGCAGCACAAATAATGTCTTTATTGCTCTGAGTGTATGTTCATGTGTTGCCCACGCACACCCACTGTGCCTATCTGTAGCCATGCGCTCCTGTCATCCTCCACTGCTGCTTCCTGTGTCGTGACGGCTCTCTGTTTTATCCTCAGCCCTGCCGTCTCCCTCTGCTCCCCTGGAATTTCACTCCATCTCATGTTCTCTTGTTTCTTCTCTCCACCTCCAGCATCTCCAGCCTTCATCCTGTCTTCCCATGTCTGCTGGAGAGTCGTGAGCGGAGGAGCGGCGCAAACGGAAACCGCTCCCACTGGTAAGAGTTACTACATCTGCTAGGTTTAACTTAGGGGATAGATGTGTTAGATAGGCTGGAAAATAAACATACATACACTTTCTCAACATAACATGCACATATTGTTTTCTGTTAGAGGTTATGTTGTGTTGAAGAAGCAGTGAAATGTAGGGTAGGAGGCACAGCAAGCAATTTCCTTAATTAGTCATCAGCACCAATTCGAAAGATCCATGTTAATTACCCTTATAATCTACGCTCAAACTTGAAGAGAGTAGGAAATAGAGAGTAAATGTGTGTTTCGTGCTCTAATAGCTGTGGCTTTATCACTTGAACCATGTATTTGCAATTAAACTTCAACAAAAGGACTTTATGATATTAACACCTGAAATCAGACTGAACTGAGACAGTGAGTTAGCAGCACGTCTCTGTGAAATGAGTTACTTTGATGAAAACTGCACTTAAAGTCTCCCAGTTTATACTCAGATCTTTAAGGTTTTAGATTACAGTTTTACTTCATTCTGCTACATTTCAGCGAGGTTATTGTACTTTTCACCCCGCTAGATTTACTTGACAGCTGTAGATACTCGTTACCTTTCAGGTAAGGATTGTTTGAAATTAAATCACAGGTTTACGTTACAAAAATTAGTTTCTCGCCGAGACCCCTTGGTTATAATTGATACGTCTGTACTTTTTCTAAGTACGATTTTGATTGCAGGACTTTTACTTGTAAAAGTATTTTTTATATTAACATATGGTACTTCTAGTTAAGTAAAGGATCTTATTACTTCTCCCTCCTATGCCTTCGACTTGAACCAACTACACAGAATAAACCTTTTTGTCGTTATATAATAGAAATAACAAAAACAAGCTTCTGAAAAACTCATAACAATACCAGAAGTATCTTTTTTTTTATATACACATCTATATTTTTATATACACTGTACAGATTTCAAAAAAATAAATGGTTGATATTTAACATTGTGCACACCACAGATGTGTAACTACATAGAGAAAGAGGGGGCTGCGTTGATACCAAGGACAGACAGATATCAACAACCCCAAATACTGATGATTTTTTTTCATTTTTTTTTTCATACAGGACACTTCACAATCATTTGTACAGTATATAAATTAAAATGTTGCTGGTTAACCTCTCTTTGTCTCAAGCAGTGTCCCAAGAGAATGCCCTAAACCGTATTTGGCCAGTGAAGGGTGTAGACATCCAAAATTTAGCTTGATTTCATAAAACTAAAATGTACCAAACCCTGACTGTTATTTAACCAATATTTAAGTTGCATTGATTAAAGTGACTTTCACTAAGCCTTTGGAATGTAATGCCTTGTTTCTCACACAGGGCCATCAGGAGAGACAGGTGACTGTGTTCCTGGTTATTTTGGGATGCTCTGATGCTCTGCTCTGACCTGAGACGTAGCTAACAGTGATGCAAAGAGGTGATGATTATCTCCTGTCTCACCGTCCCCCCCCTCACTCTGACACTTGGAGAGGGGGAGCACATATGGTGAGGAGCAAGGCGTGGCAGGGTTTATAAGGCACACACAGAACACTTTGTGCCAGAAAGCATGTGTGCACGACGGGGGTGTTTTGGGGGTCAGCTGTGATAGTGCCACCCTTCATTTCTTGGATCAGAAGGACAGACAGGACAAAAATGTTGGTAGCTGCTTCTGTCTGAACTAAACAATTATTAATGATGGTCAAAGAAAACAGGTTTCTTCTGTTGTAAAGCTTGTTTGTGACATTTTTTTCTTTTTCAGCTCATATACAACAGATTTGCCTCCCTCCCAAACCAAACGTCCTTTTAAACCACACACCAGGAAGATAACCCTGCTAGGAAGAGAGGTTTGTTCCAGCATCGTCAACAAGTGCAGTGATTCTTAAAGAAGTGAAAAAAAAAATTCTTTGTACATCTGGTTTGTTTCATACAGAATAAAAACGGTAAACAATGTTGTTCTGTAATAACCTGGCAAAATAGAACTCAGTGCAGATATATATACAGACACAGAGGGACTCACAGTAAATAAAATCACACAAATTCATTTCAAATATCAACACTCACACATGCACACACACATCCAGTAGACAAAAACGAACAGTGGAATGTAAAAAGATTTTTTGTCCTCTCTCGTTTGTTTCATAAATACCTCTATGGGACTTGGGGGAGGTCTCATTCAGTCAGTGAAGCAAACAACTGGAAGACTGACTTGTTATTGGTAAAAAACCCAAACTAAAAAAAAATTAACAAAAAATCAGGTCTAATATTGTCCTTGGACATATAGTGCTTTGTAAAAATGAAAAATAGGTTTATATTGTTCTGTAAGAGCTATTCCAGGTTTAATGCACAGATAGTGTTTTACATATTGTACAACATTACATATTCAACATATTACCATCTGTTACCCTAACAAAGTAATTTATTGCCTGCATACATAAATTGTCAGTTCACCCAAATCATAAAATATTGAGTGTATCAAAACTAAAAGGCCAATTTCTAGCTTTTTCCTTTGGACTCACCATCCTCACTTCAGTAATAGTAATGATAGAGTTCTCTGAGTTGAATAAAGATCTCACGATGGAAGAATGTCAAACTGTTCAATACCTGGTTTGCACAAAGTGGCGATGCATCAAACCAGTGGTGGGGGGAGGGGTGCTGGGCTGACCTTGCTTCCAATGATTTTCAGATTATGATCTTTCTCAGGGTGTTTTGGCGCCCTCAGGTCTGGTTCAATGCCACTGTGTGCAAGTGGGCTGAGCAGTCTGTTTACCACCACCAAGGTGATCCTAGACTCAACTGAGCGAACTCCACCTGCTGAGGAAAACTCTGAGATGTGGTTAAAAAACATAAGCACGTAAGGGGACCTTAAATTAAGATTTTTTGCCAAGGCCATGCAGGAAGTTTTCAGATTTAGATTCCACGATGGAGGTTGTGTTAAAATAATTGATGCATAGATGTTGTTGTCTTCTGTTTTCACAGTGAAAACCATTCATTTAGGGGTTTGTGGATTATCCGATTAACCGGAACAATGTTTCTAGATAGACAAGCTGGCACAGCTGTTGAATTTTTCAAAAGCCATTTCAAATGCTATATCTTCTTTGTACTTGAGGTGGCAGCAGTGATTTCAGGGGATCAAACCACAACATATATGTACATCTGAAACTATCCGCCTGGCTTAATACTACTAGAGGTTAGAAAATACTGTACGTGTGTCTGTGTTTTGGGTGGACTGACCCTGTAACCTCAGTGACCTCCCCACGGCTTCGCTAACTTCAACACCACAAATTCTAACAATACCTTACTTTCATAATCGTTATCAACGGCTATTTTCAACGACATCTTATAGTCTTATCTTAATTTAGCTGTTCAAGTCCAAAATACTCCCTCATTCACACACACACACACACACACACACACACACACACACACACACACACACACACACACACACACAC